ATAGCGTGTCGAGACGAATGCGCTTTGGTGCGCTCCTCACCGCAGGCCCGATTCGCTTTACTGACGCGTTTCAGAGCACATCGTTCATACCGCTCTGGACTCGATCGGCCAGCGGGCGAAGGTTCCGTGCAGCTGCAAAGGCTACACGCGACTGCATCGCGAATTTTGGAGGCTCTCTGACATTGGAGGCTTGGCCAGCCTGAAGCACATCGTTGGATTGTGCGCCAAGTCTGCTGGCGAATCACTCGCGGATTAGACCGGTAAGCCCCGCGATCTTTCAGACTGTCTCTACTAATCTTCATTTTCAGGTGCTCGAGGTCGCGTACATACAGCTCCTGTACATTTATGTAAAACTCGGTTGTCCCTTATCAGCGCCGCAGCACCGCCAATGGAAGATAAGATGAAATCGCGTCCTTTCCAACAAACCGCCATGACCCAGCCCTACGTCTCACTCGCGCAACCTCGCTGGCCAAGAACACACCAACGCGCATCGCCGTCGTCTGCAGCTCCCTGGGACTCGAGCGAAGGTTGGCAAGGACGCATCGGGGCTTAGCCCACTCCACGCTCTTTTCCGACGACGCTCCCGTCCGCCTTCGCATTCGCCCTCTAACTTACGCACTTCTTTCGCAACCAGTCCGTGTCTCTTGATGCCGAGCAGTCCACCCCCACCGCCTACTAGCTTGCCAGCCGCCGTGTACAAACCGTGATCGAGACGCAGGTGCAGCTGAGAATGGAAACAAGGACGAGGAAGACCATACGCGGACACTCGCAGACGGGTGACGGAGCTGGGACACCGTGCGGACGTCTTGCAGCAGACGCGGAGAGGATTGTGAGGCCCACCAGGACCCGTACACGACTGGTGGAAGGTTGGAGGAGGACCTGGAGATGGACGCGTTGATCAAGGACCGGAAGCGGACGCGGCTCCGTGTGCCGAACTAGACGCTGTGGGCTGTCCCTAACCATCGCCACGAGCTGATGCTGGGCGCGTTTCAGACCATCGATCCGCTTGCAAATTTTGAATGAGAGTTGCCGGGTTTCAGAGCGGGTTTCAGCCCTCATGATAGAATCCCAATATCGTTTCCGACGTCAGTTCAATGACTTACATGCGTTGTTGTTGCTGATTGATTTTGAGTGGGCGCTCCGAGAGTAAGCACGATCCACAGCGAAGGTCAGTAAGGGCGCGTCGCGCCTCTTGTTGTCTGCGCGCGTTGTCTAACGTTTGTCTCTGATAGATCTGGATCCAAACCAGCTGCTAGCTTAGGTATCTGCAACTCGTTCGCGAAGGGATATCCGAGCTCGGGAGCATATGTGTGTCGTTGTCATTTGTGCGGGTGTGCTTATCAGCGATACAGGGCTCGCAAATTGTATCGGCAACGGCGGATTTCTATCATCTCCGTCCATGTTGTAGCGTCGTTTCCGTAGCAGATAAAGAGCCGAAATGAATTGGTTCGCAAAGCAGGTACATGGAGTACTTCATTAAGCTCTCGGTCTCTCTGCCGCAGTCCAGACAGAAACACATCGACCCGACACCTTCTGCGTAGATCTCTTCTCTCAACTGGATGGGATCGGAGCCGCTGCGCGCCTCGGATGGTGACGCTGTGCACTAGTCTTCCCGCTACAAGCTGCGCCTCTACACAGCCACCCGAGTCACAATCAGTCGGGTTTGATCAAGCGTACACCCTCGACCGGGAAACCCTCCCGACCATCTGTCGGGTGAAATGGCCTGGGTACGGAAGAGGGGGGATTCTATGATTTGTCTCGGCTCTGATCTCTGTGCGTCTGTAGGGGATCAGAGGATCAGAAGCGATAGACCTGAAGCACGCACTGTTACATAGCAGCTAAATTGGGACTGGTCTGCGTAGATCGGGCGAGAGAGAGCGCACCAAAGAAGTCTACCAGTCTCCTCGCATTTGAGAAAGACGCCCGATCTGATACTGGTAGGAGGTGATAGAAGAACATATATAGGTAATAGGAGGATACATCGAAGAGCGGTGTGGGCGTGATACTGTACGTAGGGTAGGCGAATGTCGAGAGTAGTCGTGAAGAGCCAGATAATTCGTCCCGTCGAGATGAGGGTCAGGTTCAAGTCGCAGGTATGGCTTGTTTGCGCTTGACGGCGTTAGTGGACGGCAACTGTTGGCGGTGTTGGTGGCGGTTCAATTACAGCCACCCGAGTCGCAATCAGTCGGGTTTGATCAAGCGTACACCCTCCACCGGGAAACCCTCCCGACCATCTGTCGGGGGAAATGGCCTAGGTACGGAATAGCGGGGATTTTATCGGTTGTCTCGGCTCTGATCTCTGTGCGTCTGTAGGGGATCAGAGGATCAGAAGCGATAGACCTGAAGCACGCACTGTTACATAGCAGCTAAATTGAGACTGGTCTGCGCAGATCGGGCGAGAGAGAGCGCACCAAAGGAATCTCCGATTCTTCTCGCATTTGAGAAAGACGCCCGATCTGATACTGGTAGGAGGTGATAGAAGAACATATATAGGTAATAGGAGGATACATCGAAGAGCGGTGTGGGCGTGATACTGTACGTAGGGTAGGCGAATGTCGAGAGTAGTCGTGAAGAGCCAGATAATTCGTCCCGTCGAGCTGAGGGTCAGGTTCAAGTCGCAGGTGTGGCTTGTTTGCGCTTGACGGCGTTAGTGGACGGCAACTGTTGGCGGTGTTGGTGGCGGTTCAATTACAGCCACCCGAGTCGCAATCAGTCGGGTTTGATCAAGCGTACACCCTCCACCGGGAAACCCTCCCGACCATCTGTCGGGGGAAATGGCCTAGGTACGGAATAGCGGGGATTTTATCGGTTGTCTCGGCTCTGATCTCTGTGCGTCTGTAGGGGATCAGAGGATCAGAAGCGATAGACCTGAAGCACGCACTGTTACATAGCAGCTAAATTGAGACTGGTCTGCGTAGATCGGGCGAGAGAGAGCGCACCAAAGAAATCTCCGATTCTTCTCGCATTTGAGAAAGACGCCCGATCTGATACTGGTAGGAGGTGATAGAAGAACATATATCAGTAGGTAATAGTAGGATACATCGAAGAGCGGTGTGGGCGTGATACTGTACGTAGGGTAGGCGAATGTCGAGAGTAGTCGTGAAGAGCCAGAAAATTCGTCCCGTCGAGCTGAGGGTCAGGTTCAAGTCGCAGGTGTGGCTTACTTGCGCTTGACGGCGGTAGTTGACGGCAACTGTTGGCGGTGTTGGTGGCGGGTCAGTCACATCAATGTCACCGTCACTCACAGCGAAGGCGTCTAATAATATATTCATTTTATTGGTGGTTGCGGCTCGTGAGTGTCGACGGCGTAGTGTAATATTATTCCAATGCGGCTCATCAAGGTCGGCAGCACACTATATGACTCGTAAATTGACTCGTGTGTGCGGCCATGCAACGACTCGTGCCGACACATTGCGACTCGTTGCGACTCGCATCTTTTCTCACTGAAAAAAGAACATCTTTTTTCATTATCTGTTCTCGGTGGGAATAGATGTCTATTCTCATCGAGAATCGATCTGAAAAAAGATGATCTTTTTTCAGATCGATTCTCAGTGGGAACAGACGTCTGTTTTCCGTGAGAATCGACATTGAAAAAAGATGTTCTTTTTTCAGTGAGAAAAGAACATCTGCTTTTAGTGAGAATCGGTCTGAAAAAAGAACATCTGTTTACAGCTCTGTTTTTGGGGGGAATAGACGTCTATTCGTGGTACAAATCTGGCTGTAAATCTACATCTATTTGCAATATCTTCCTGCTGTCTGAAAACAGAACGGTGAAAATCGAACTTCTAGATTGTCACGCATTTTCCGCGGAAAAAAATAAGTCCCCCTGCAGTGTGGAAGATTGGGACAAGCATCAGACGGACACGTGATATCGTCAGAACTTGATTTCAACAGTGTTCGATTCCAAATGCTTGGGGATTCATTCAGCGGCGTCTCGATCTCTGAAACTGCATGCACCAGGCGTTTCGGACCGTTCATTTGAAACTCCAGTATCAAGTCTTGTAGCCCACAAAGAATTGCAGAACGCTGGACCCACCGGCTCCTCTTTCAATCAGCGTACAAGGATGGGTCATCGCACACAATTCCCCTTGCTTATAACCGGGATACAATCTTCGTCGAAAGGATCTATGTCGCATTTCTCATCGCCTTTCATCGGAAATTTCCCTGACATGATCTTGAAATTGCTGGTCAGTCATCTCATCCTCGGCAAGGCAATTCTCACTGCCCACCGGGATCGTTCAAGACAGACAAAAAAAGTAACTGACACTCCACCTTCAAGCTTCATGTAGCACATTAGCACACTACGCCTTCAATTTCTTTTGTGCGATCTACGCCGGCTCTGGTAGCTGTCGTATGTCTTGGGGAAGCTTTTGCGCAATCGTTTGGACACAGCAATAGCCATTGTTCTTGAAGCTGGAGTGTTGCGTCGAGTTTTTCTTCCTCTCTATCTATCTTCCGTTTCTATACAGGTTGGCCGACCTGTCAGTGTTTACCCAGACGCTCCGGGGCGGTCTTTCTTTCTCTGGGAAGCAACCGCACGACGAACATGGCCCTGTACTTCGGACCAGTGAGTCGATTCACAGTGGTTTGTCTCTGTGGCTCAGAGTCGTCGGAGGCCCAGACATTCGTTTCGTTTCATCGATGAAAACCACCAGCCAGAGATAGACGCCTTGTCCCAAGCTTTGGACAAGTCGACGGCATGCGTTATGTACCCAATCCGAGGAGACAGGCTGTTCTTTCGTCAAGGATAAGATCGAGGCATGGTTCCCGACGGCGTATTTGGAATAGATCGTTTTCAGAACAGGCGCGCGGCAATTTCTGTCCCCGCTTCTACGCAGTGTCTGAAGATGTGTCCAGTCAGTCTATCAGGATATCAGTCCGCAATCACTGACCGTGTTCAACTTCGCACACTGGTCGCACATGCGTTCTCAATTTTGATCTCTCAAACAACGAGGGCTTCGATCCTCAATCTTTCCTCGCCGGCGCCAGAAACACGCGCGCAATATCATTTCTGGAACCGTTGATTGCCAATGTAGTTCCGCGAAGAAAGCATTGGCTGGCATCTCACAGAGAGCAGTACACAAGTGACCTAAAATTACATATTTTGGCAGATTGAGCGTTACGCAATCAAGCACCCCTCGCCGTCTCCTTCTCCGCCAAATAGATTGCCCATACCACCCAGTGCGCCCAGCCCTGGCGGAAGTGGGCCCATAAGTTCGGAAGGTGGCGATCCATGAGATTGCATCTGCCACAGATGAGGCCGTGACTGGCAAAACTGCACATGACGACTCACCTCCGCAACTAAAGCTACAATCTTTTCACGCGACTTTTCGTTATCCACGTAGTCGGGTGCTTCGAAAAGTTTCAGAAGGGTCTTGATCGACCCAATTTGTGCAGTGTAACGGTCGAACTCCTCCTGCGAAAGAGGCTCGGCGTCAGCAGCAGGACTCGACGGTGAGTGTGCGGCGAGATATGGTGGGAACTGTGAATGAACATGAGCTAGCGGAAAATCCATCCGACTATAAAACCCACTTTCTCGCCCAGCTCCTTCAGAGGTTCGTATAGCACGTCCTTGCTCATCAATTCTCCCATCATGTTTTCCAGGATGCCAGCCAACGCATTCTCATCAAGATCCCCTTCTCCCCCACCCCCAAGGCCGAGCTGTGATAACATGGCTTCAAGTGAGTCTGCCGATGGGTCTGCGGCACTTTGGTCGCCCATGGTCGCCTCTCCCTCTCGGACTTTGCCCATCGCGGCGCGGATGGCAGACTGGAAATCCGAGGACTGAGGAGCAGCAGAGGAGGTGGAAGACCCGGGAACGGGAGAGGGATCAGAGCCTGGAGCTCCCGCGTTATTCATCCCTTCTACAAGCAGAGCTTCCCAAGCAGCCCGTAGAGCCGTTTCATCGAATTCGGGCTCAGATGTCGGCGCGTCTGGTGATTTAGCGGCAGCCTTGGACGCGTTTTCTGTGGCCATCTCACGCATGAGGGATTCCATCCCCTTGGCAAGCTCCGCAGCGAAATCGGAGGCAAGCGCATCAGCATCGATGTCGTCCTCGGCCGCTTCGGATAGCTGGGACAGAGGGGGTCCGTTACCAGGCGCGGGGAGGGGAGATTCACCAACACGAGTGTTGGTCCGCGGCCTGCTTGAAGGCGGAAGGGAGGAAGCAGATAATGGGTTTGGGAGCACGGGAGGTCCCCCGGATGCGAATGATGATTGTGTGGCGGTCGGTGGCGGAGGAGGTGGGGACGTAACAGGAGACGTCGGTTGTGGGGCCGCAAATTGATCGAGAACTTCGTCAAGCTCGTCGAGGTCCGCGTCTGTGTCTACGTTGGGCATTGTGAGATAGGCCAAACAATAACCGGTTGGACAAGAGATCTACTATATACGTGACAGCAGCAGCTAGCGCAATCAAGCGTGACAGTTGTACAGCCTCACCGGCCCCCACCGTCTCATACTACAGGACTCGCACTTAGTCGCCCTTGCTCTCTTTCTTTTCCATTGTGGACTTCTGGGATTTGACATTCAATAGTTGGCAGAGTTAAGGGAGGACGCATTCAACTGGATTGGATCGGATCCAGCAATTAGCCGAACACGACAACACAGCTCATTAGTTTGAGAGATGAAGAAGTTATTTGGACGGGAGCGGGATAAGGCCAAGGTAGAGTGTGCCTTTGAACTCTCCAATTACGTATTCACTCTCTGGATCCACTCTGAACGCGCCCCAGGACCTGGTCCCTCCTCCGACTCAATCGTCCCCCGCACCCACTCCAATTCACCATCAGTACACTACGCAGCGTCCTTCGGTGGACGATGAGCGCTGGGAGATGTTAAACGACTCTCACAATGCCACTGCACCTGTCCCGGCTTCTTCACGAGCACCATCGCCCTACACGGTCTCAGCCAACAGCTCTGTCCGTCAACCACCAATCCCAGCACAAGTTTCGGGAAATGGACCTACCTCCCAGGCCCCAAAGAAGAAGGGAGGCCCTCCGGCATTGGGGATACTCAACTCCCTCGAACCGCAGCAGAACCATCATGCGCGCAATCGCTCAGAGGAGCCGTTATTTCAGGCTCAGCCTGAACCGCCCAAGGAGAAGAAGGGATTCTGGAGCCGGGACAAGGAGAAGGATCGGGAAAAGGACAACAGGGACAGGGAAATTGCGCACAGGGAGAGAGAGAGAATGGAACAGGACCCACGGGACAGGGATACCCGAGAACGTGGAACAAGAGATTACGATGAGTTGACTAGGAAAATTGGTGCGTCATTCTTCCATGTTACCAGGAGAATTCGTCGTCATAGCTGCCCTGCAGGATTCCTGACAGCCACAGCGTCGGAGGACTGGACATTAGTGCTCGATGTCTGTGAGCATGCATCGTCATCCGATGCTGCGGCCAAGGAAGCTGTCCGAGCACTGCGGAGGGAGTTCAAATACGGGGAACCAGCAGCGCAACTAGCTGCTGCAAGAGTGAGTGACCATCTCATCCTCTTTCTCATTCTCTCTTACGGACTGGTTTGCTAGCTTTGGGCACTGATGCTGCGTAATTCGACCGATACCTTCATTTCGCAGTCTACTTCACGCAAATTCCTCGACACTCTCGAAGATTTGCTTACATCTTCACGTACGGCTCCTGTTGTCAAAGAGCGCCTCATGGATGTTTTGGGGGCAGCAGCTTTCGCCAGTGGGGGGAGTGAGTCATTGTGATCATCTGACTTGAAACCCGCTGATAAATGAGAAAGAGAAGGACACTGGGTTCCGTGGACTCTGGCGTCGGGTCAAACCTCGAGACCGACCCGAGGAGGGTGTTCCATTCGACCCAGAAGATGTGATGTTCAATCCGCCTTTGATGGGTAAACATCGATGCCAACGACCGTTTCGTTCTCTCAATCTGTGACACAGGGAGCGGCAATTACGGTACCAACAACATGAGGAACATGGTAGCAGGCAGAGGTGGTGCGTTTAATTTGATGGACTTGTCAGGTTCCATCTCATCGTATGATATAGGCAACACTGTCCATCAGCACACACCGCCAATGGTGGTCTATCAAGACGCAACGTCGACGACTGCAGACATACCGATTTCTGGTGGCCGAGCGAAGAAGGAGCGCTCTGATCGAGAACGGTCTGATCGGGAACGCTCCGATAGAGATCACCGCGAGCCAGGTGAAGGGCGGAAACACCGAGACAGAGAACTTCGGGAGCGAGATCTACGGCACAAGATTATACCGCCTGACGAAGACATGAAACGTCTGAGAGTGGAGTGCAAGGCTGCCATCCACAACGCTGGTCTGCTCAGCGAGGCGCTCGCCATGGCCACCGTCGAGGACCTGGAGCAGGACATCATTGTGGTGCGTGTCTGGCACCGTTTTTTGATCCTCGATCCCTAAGATTCTGCAGGAATTTCACAAAAAATGCATCAGTTCTCAAGAACTGATCTTCACTCAGATACCGTGGGCATCTGCTGGTGCCGAACGGAGCAGAGCAGCTAAAGATGCACGTGATCGTGACTATCCGAAACGGAGGGCTGACTCGAACGGCCATGTGCCAGAGAAGGGAGATGAAGTTGCAGAAGTCACACCGGAGGAAGAGTTGCTGGCAGAGCTCTTGGCTGCGAACGAACAGCTCGTGGAAGCCCTGAAACAATTCGATGACTTGAAGCGTGTTGCATTAGAGCGAGAAACCGAAGATCGCAGTCGGAGAGAGGTTCGACTGGATCCCCGGTGAGTCTTCCCTTGTTTGGTATATCTGCAACGGCTCAACTGGACAGGAACGACAACTCATCAACGAAGAGGGCACTCTATATCCAGATGCCCACGGCCAGGGGAGTTCGCGATCCCGGTCGCAGTCACCTATCCGCCATGCGTTACCGACTCACCCCAGTGCGGATCCCGCTCTGAACGCAGGCCAACATATCATGTTGGCCGTACCCCCAGCGCCTCAGGGTCCGCGGTCACCTGGTCTGACGCGCACACCGTCGCCAGCGCAACCGGATGGGTTCGCTCCCGTCGGGGCTGCAGAGCTCGCTAATGGGTATGTGGGCACTCGGGTCACTGGTCCCCGCGACTTGGGCCGGCCCTCGTTTGAGGACGGAGAGCGATGGCACGGCCAACCGCCGCCGCCGCCACCACCGCCTCAGGTGCATCAACCATCCCACGCCACGCCGCCGCAGACATACGCACTGCCACCGCACACGTATGCTCAGACGCATCCTTCAAACGACGAGCTTCCCGACGTGTTGCAGCCAAGCGCGAAAGCACTGGGCAAGCGCCGCGTGGAGCCCGATTCGGTACCTGCTGCGGACCCACCGTCAAGCTACAACTCGGACAATTTCGAGGACCGTCTGAGCGATTCTGAGGACGAAGAGTCCCCGGCCAAGTTGTGGCAGCATATGCATCACCCTGTGCAGCATTATGTGTACGATGCAGCAGCTGAGCGCACCCAGGAACGGCTCAAAGAAGCCCATCTGCAGCTCGTCCATTGATGTGTAGATTGTACCATTCTAACATTAACCAACTCATGTAATGCTCTCCGCTTTCATTTGCATTATTTATTTACACATGTCTCGCTGCTGGCCTCGCGTGAAATCAGTAGCTGTTTACACAGAAAAGAAGTTCGATATGCGCCGAAGTGGTAAGTACGTATGCACGGTGATAAATAAAGATTACTTGAGATCCTGTGGGGTATGCTGGATGTCGTGAGATGAAAGCAGCAGATGCGACTAGTGTATAGATGATGCAATAAAGTCCGCCCGAAAAGAATGTGTGCCATGCCATGCAGATGCTGATCAACCGTGAAGAGCCTGCTCGATGACCATGCATTGGGAGAGCAGCTGCATGATCACAGGTCGACCGCAAGACCTCTGAAGATAAGGAGTCTGCGATAGGTTAGATCTTATTTCTCGAACACGACATAAACCAAAGTCACGCACCTGGAGCAAAGCAGCTGGTGTCGGCCGCGACGCAGCAGGCTCAGAACACCTCGTCAGGAAGTCGTGGAATGCTGGCGGATATAGATCCGGCTGTGTCAGGGCTGGCCATCGATCTTCAGGCACCTGCGTGTCCGCGAACGGTGGAGTGGCCTCGGCAAGTTCCCAGATCGTGGCTCCGACAGACCAAACGTCAACTTTGAGCGGATCATACGCCCCGCTGCAAGGCATCAGTATCTAGGTCGGTAGTTGCATGGACGGACACTCACGTGCGAACCTCGGGGGCCTGCCAGTAGATGACCCCGACTTCGTCAGTGGCCAACGGTGACTCTTCACTAAGCCTCCACGCGTTCGAGAAATCGGCAAGCTTAAGGACGCCCTGACTATTAAGGAGCAGATTGTCAGATCGCACATCCCGATGCGCGATGCCGTGCTTCTGCAGATAGTCCAGTCCCAGCAGCATCTGCTGACCATCAGTCTCTGACACCCCGGTCACCAGGAAACACACTCACATCGTTCGCGAACCGAGCCATGACCCTCGGCTCTTGCAGCTGCAGCCCTTCTTCGACCAGACCAATGACATCAGCCAGACTGCGCTCCATCAGTTCCATGCGTATCCACAAGGAATCGTCAACGAGATCGACATATAGTGCATCCAAGCCGACAAGCTGCTCGCACCACAGCCCGCGCAAAAGCTCGCACTCTCGGGCCACGTCAAACACCTTCGGTGTTCCACCGGGTACGAGCGTGACAGACTTGATCGCAACTAGAACCCTCTCTTGCGCAGCAAGCTGGTCCAAGTCGCGCGTCTGAATGTGCGGAGGCAGCCTGAGCTTCAGGTGCGCTGCGTCTGGAACCAGCGCCGCAGCAAACACACTGCCCGATTCGCCTTCCGCGATTTCGGTCAGATCGGTGTAGAACTCCCGCGGGTCTATTTGCTCGTCGATAAATCCCCGCAGTGGAGCGACGGCATCCGCAACCCATCCCGCATATCGGAGTGCCGGCGTCACTGGTGTCGCAGCAAGACCAAGAGCAGTCAATGGGCCAGGGGATTCTGCCGTGGTCGTTACGTGAATGGTCGGGCGGTGATTCGAGGGTAAAACGAGGGAGATGCCAGCGCTACTGGCATCTGGGCTGACGTCCATCTCGCCCTCTGTAGGAAATTCATACCCATACTCATATCCCTCGTCTTCGCCGTCGTCGTCATAAATGTCATCCTCTTCATCCAAGACACCTCCAAACGTATCTGTTGTGCTGGTCATAAGAGCAGCCCGTCCATCCAGAGGTGCTGGCCTGTATTCTGAGGGAGCCCGGCTCTGGTCCGTGGGTCTCTGCAGCTGAGCAGATGCTTGTTGCTGCCGGCCTGCTAGCCTCTGCTGTTGAGCCTGTGCCACTTGCTCTTCCACCTCTCTCCTTGACAGTCCTTTCTGCATGGCTTCCCATTCTATCCTTCTCAACGCCTCCTCGGGGTCCTCGTCGTCGTCGTCGTCACCAGCATCGGCCTGGACACCAGCCGATTGAGCTTCAAAAGCCTTGATCCTTTGGGCATCCCGCTGCTCCAGAGCAGCTCGTTGTTCGTTCCGACTTGTCACAACGGGAGCAACCAAGGGTCGTTCCTTCTCTTTCTTCTCAAATTCCTGACGTTCCGGTGTCGCGCTGTCCAGTCTAAAGCCATTCTCTTTCAAATAATTGCGTCCTTCTCGGTAATAGTCCCGCGCCGATGCCTTAGAGCCTGTGGACTTGGGTTTACCAACATCGTCCTGTGTGCCAACGACCATCTTCCGTGACTCTCCTTCGTCGAGTTCTGTGACGGGTGTCTCAACCAGGTGGTCCTGGCTGTCCGATCCAGACCCGGACGAGGAGCCGAAGTGGGAGGATTGAGGAGAGGCAGGCGCGATAGAGGCCGACGGAGCTTTGATGGCAGGTGCTGAGGAAAACTATCAATAACATGAGCACAAGAGCATACCAACGACTCACCAACAGGGACAGTAGCAGCCACGGCTCTTCTCACGAGGTTTGCTTGATTGACTATGCCGGCGCTGTGCGGCACACCCAACATCGTGGAATCGCTCATCCCCGAATCTCGGTTCTCCCGGTCCCGTGAATCTTGCACGTCGGGAGACAACAGTGCAGGCGATGTCGGCGACAGTCGTGCCGTGCTTCGTTGTGTATCGTATAAGGGAGACGGTGGCAAACGCAGCATATCACGTTGTGGGGCGGATAATCGAATCGTGTTCCGATTGGGCCCCGATTCTTCCTCTTCGTCATCATATGCCAATCCGGTCTCACCGTCGCGGACAAAATCTGGTGTGAGCGGAGCGTTCGCTGAAGACGGGCTGCGGGCGAAACCAGCCAAAGTGGCCGACCAAGGTCCAGCGGACAGCACTTGATCTGACCAGGCATCAGCACCTTCGTCAAGGTCAAGACTCAAGTCCAGTTTGAGATCGAGAGGGGCCAGATTTGGCGCGGTTTTGGAGACTGGGGGAGGAGAGGGCGACCGTGATATTGGAGGAGAAGGGGAATACGGAGGTGTTAATGATCTCGAGAGCGGAGGTGACGCTGGTCTCGAATTTGATGGGGATTGCCTTCGTATGGCGGGTATTAGAGGAGCAGGTACTGGAGGTAGAGAAGTGGGAGAAGGGGGACGCGACTGAGTCTGGGAGTAAGCCGAGGTATTTCGTGAATGGGTCGTAGACAGCGAAACGGGAGAATAGGACCGCATCCCGTCAGAGATTTGTGTAGCTTGTGGTGACTCCGCCCGTTGCCTTGGCGGTGCAGCACGACCCTGATCGTATGCTCGTGGAGGTTGGGGATACTTCTGAGCAGACTTCTGAGCTTGGGAATCCTGTTGGTAGACCTTAGGAACCAGTGGGACGGGAACGGGCGACGAATTGGCCGAAGTCGAAGATCCCAACGATGACGCAGGCGTATGGGTCGGATTTCTCGATGCAGCTGGTCCTTGTGGTCTCGGTAACGAAGTGGAACGGGGAACTGGCTTGACAACGGCTACTGCAGGTGATCTTGGAAAGGGACGGTCCGCCATCTTCCGCTGCTGGATGGCTGCAATTTCCTCCTCCGAAAAACCAGCCTCCTGCAAAGACGTTGTCCAAGACGGCGGCAACCCTACAAATCCTTCATCTACATGGACATTATGAGAGAAGTTCCATGGCATCGAAATGTTCTCGTCGTCCGTCGGGCTATCGTGGTTGATACTCTTTTTGGACGAGGACGACGTCGAGGAGAACTTGAAGAGCCCTCCACGCTTGCTACCAGAGGCTGATGGAGGAGGCTGTTGCGGTGCAGCTCCGGATGGGAGGACCAAGGAGACTGCCGAAGCGTTGGTGGTCGCATACTGCTCTGGTGATAGAGGCGACTCGGGCGACAGGGAGGCCAGCGAACGATTCCGCGCTGCAAGGTACACCGGATCCTTTGGAGGTGGAGCAGGGGGATTCTTGGCCCCAAACTTGAAGACCCGTAGGGTCGAGAACCGCGACGAGGACGAAGACGGCTTTTTGCCCTCCATCGCAAGAGTGCGCCGTCAAGAGTCAACTAACGATGCACCGCCACAATGCGCTGCAACAACTTTGATTACCTCTTATAATTTACTGTGACTGGAATGTTTCCGTGCCGCTTCCGAAGACGATATCAGGTACTACTAGCTACAGTTGTAGTGGCCTGCGCCGCATACCATGATAGGTATTATGCGTATGTATGCGTAAAGCACTCACTCTACCGCCCTTCGTCCACCGAGTTTCAGCAATCGCAGCAACGATAAACTTATTCTCTTCACGAAGTGTTTATATACTTTGCGGAACGCCGAGCCGTTGGCGGCCCGAATCCAGCATCTTTATTGACCTGCAACACCTCTCGCCTCATCTGGATGTTAGCTGGGCCTTCCATCTGAAATTGAGCGACGAGAGCCGAACGGTGTGGCGAGGGCGCAAGAGCACGGGATGTGAGCTTCCGAAGCATGCACCTAGTAGGCTAGACTCGATTTTGAACAAAGATATTCAAGCTTTCGTCTTCGTCGGCTCAGGGGGCGGCACACCCCATTCTGGTGTCCCTTCCGGTCGCGGAACACGCTTCATATCCCAGTCTTCGTCGGGTTGGGCAGAGAGTCGCTAATTGAACACGTTTGAGAAAGCGAGACGTTGCTGATGTCCAGTACACTCACGAAATACTCTTCCCTGATGTCAAACTTCTTTCGACCGTGCTCGAGTTTGAGCTCCTGCTCCTTGGTGACCTGACCGAGCCGGACATATCGAGTGAGATGTCGTATGAAATGAATAAGAACTGACGTGCCTGCTTGACTTGTTTATCTCGGTAGTCATATTTGGTTTGAATAATGGCAGCGAGACCGTATGAAGAGCCTATCATAAGGAGGACAAAAGGTATCCCGAAGATGAGAGGCTGCCGTCGAACAAGTAGGTTGAGGCGGGAGGGATTGAGAGGCTTGGACCTGAAGACTGTCATGAGTAAGTGGCGGGGACCAAGTTTGTCGCATCATACATCATGTGGCAATGCACATATCTGTCGAACTGCATCCAACATGTGCGGTAGATTTAGTCTCAGACTCAATGTGAGTTGCTGGAGCTTATTTCCAAGTCTGCAACATCAACTCGTCTAGCGAGAGGAGATAGAACAGCTAGAAGGACATACTGCGTCAGTGAACGAATGGGAGCGCCGTGACGCATTCGTCCCACGATACAATATCGCGCCGCACACCCAAGCCCCTGTGATACGTCGGCGCTCGCCAGAAAGCCCCTTGCTTGTCATGTCCTCTATGAAGTGGGGTCTGATCCCTCACTTCAGTAAATTTGAAGACAAATCTCTGAATACGACGAATGCGCGCTCTGAAGTGTTAATCGAGGGAGGTGGACTGTGGGGCAGCATCAAAGGTTCAAAGCGATGCGCGGTCGTGTGCCAGGGCTACTACGAATGGCTCACCAAAGGCAAAGAGAAACTTCCCCACTTCGTGAAGCCGAAGGATGGACGCGTGATGCTCATGGCAGGTTTGTGGGATACTGTAGTTCTGCAAGGTGCGTTTCAAAGATCTCTCATGCACAGAATCCCATCACTTCCGAGTCACAGGGGAAACCGAAGCATTATGGACCTTCACGATTGTAACAACGTCGGCCAATTCTGCCTTCGCTTGGCTACATGAGCGGCAGCCGGTCATTCTTCACACAACGGAAGCACTCGATGCGTGGCTGGACACTTCTTCACACAAGTGGTCTGCGGAACTCGGTAAACTACTAGTTCCCACGACTTGTCCTCTTACCTGGTGCGTTCCATCCCGAATCACTTGGCCGCACAATGATAAACCGGCTTCCCAGTTACCAAGTGCCGAAAGAGGTCGGAAAAGTCGGCACAGAATCGTCAACCTTCATTCAACCTGTCGCTGAGCGGAAAGACGGGATACAAGCCATGTTTGCTCGCCAAAAGCAGGCTCAGCAGGGCACGTCACCCTTGAAGACTCCTTCGAAACGCTCAGCGCCTGAGGCACAAGACTCGGACGACTCAATCGAGATTTTGGAAGGTCCCTCGGATGCCAAAAAGGCGAGCAAAACCTATTTGTGATCCTATTTCATGCTCATGTTCTTTTCAAGGCCAAGTCTACACACACCACTGTAAGTTTCAATGATGCAGTTTTACCAATCATAATTGTCCAGAATGCAGACCAAGCCCTCCACCCCTGCCAAGTCGAGACGGAATTGAATATGTAAATCTACCTACAGCTACTTGTATTTGAGCGCCCATTGTATCATACCCTTCATGTATCGTTCTTACTGTGTTCATATATCCTCCATTGGCCCGTCCTCCTGCTGCCGCATCGCTTTTATCGCAAAGTGTGTCGGGTCAAAGCAAGGCGACAACCACGGCTGACTGCACGGCCATATTGAATTTGGCTTCTCGTTGCAAGTTCACTGGTGGCGGGGAACTTGCGATTCGCGAGGAGAGTTCAGAGGCTTGAGATGGATAGATTGAGCCTCGGCAGCAATTCGACATCAACTCCGTTGAAGTAACCAGAATGCATCCAACCCCAGAATGCTCGTCTTGAGCTATGCATACCAAGACCAAGGGACGCTATTATTTATAGAAATGGCGTCCAGCATTGCATTTGCAATTTTGATCCACGATGATATGGTAGTGGCCGATTTTTGTCTAAGAGCAACGGGCACCCAGGAAAAGTTGACTCCTGGGGGTATTAAGAAAAAAGGAGGTCGCCGCAGATGTTTGAGATGACAGAACCAACAACTACATGAGGTGCATTGTGACTCGACTGCCGTCCAAGAATGTCTGCCACTGTAGATGATGGAATCGTCCTTCCCCGCGATCTGCGATGATCTGTACAGTGCGGGGTATCCAATCATGCGGGGAAACAATAAGATCGAGGATTTGCCAAATTTGTCGTTAATTTGATGGCCGTGACCAATGACGTCACGCGACGTGGGGCGTAGATCGACACATGTTCAAGGGTCCTGGACACCTTACTTTCATTGACACTCCTCTCACCCCATCCCTCATTGCTTGTATCCTCCATCATCCTCGATTATGTCGCCATCTGGAGAAACGTACATTGAAAAACGTTGGGGATCCCTCCTTGTATTTGACAGGCGAGCGACTCCGACAATTGGCGGCAGTCAAGCAGGTGCGCAATGCGCATCACTTGCCCTTTTCACCTGGAATGCTGACCGTCTCCTCCCAATACATCGTCCCTCTCTCATCTTCGGTGGAAACGTGGAACAGGATTCATCGGTCTGCTTGTCGGTTTCGGCGTTATCATCCTGGGCTCCTGTATCGCCATCTTCATCCTTCTACGTGACCACAAGACAACAAAAGCTCAGCGGCGAAACCGTTATGCTGCCAGATCCTCTCCAACTCGTCCTCGTTTCACATCTTTTGTACGCGATTTATTCAGCACGACGAATGGGAAGAAGACATGGATCCAAGCTTCGGATGATGCATGGACTGCTGATGAGGCGGAGCGACTGCGAGCCAGTACCAGCGGCGGCGAAATGAAGACTGCTACTCAGGATGAACCATTCCGGCCGCCTCGGTCCTTCCCATCGCGTATGAATTCATTTGCGTCTGAATCACAAGATGAAATGTCGGCGTACGATCCGGAGCCTACGATACGTTATGCGCCAGCGCCCCGCCCTGCATCCATTTCGCTGTCAACGATCGCACATCCTCGAAGTGCCTCGCCCGCATCTTCAGCCAGTGTCTTTCAACCGCATGTACGGTTCGTCTCTAGCGCGGCCGAGATCGGCAACTTGGAGGAGGAGAGTTCGTCTATTGGACACAAGGGCACCAATAAAGAACGTCAGCTGTCCGCGGACAGCCTCTCCTCTATCCGCACATTTGAAGGAGGGACCAAATTTATCGAAGGATTGTGATTTATTGTTGCTCCCATTTGACTTGAGTACTGTATCGGATACTGAATGGGCCTTTGGTACCTGTAACATCTATACTTACATTAGCTGGAAATGATACACGGCAATGTTCACAGCTTTCACGTCCCATTTATTGGGCACGTTTGGGCTGGACTGAAAGTAGGCTCATGTGGTCTGCATACGGGTCGCCCCCTAGAGGCATCGTTGATTTGTGAGTGCTGTCTGCTAGTGAGACCTGAGACGAGAGAGACGAGAGAGCCACTGGTGTCGATTCTTCACGACCTGGATTACGCAGCGGCCTATTGCGCCTGCATGTGAGGAGCCGGACCCATGCGAGATCGATGAACCATGGCCCCATCCGAGGTGCGATCATTGCAAGTGAAATGAAAGGAGGAACCGTGACAAAAATTGCCAGCAGCTAAGAGGATTTAGATGGCTTGCGAGAAGAGGAGAATAATCAGACATACCTGACCATAAGTGGCCGTGAAGGATTCATGCGTAGATCGTAGGATTAGAGAGACCTCAATGTTACAGATCCAAATGAGGTGAGGGATAATGATGGCAGTGTAGAAGTAGATGAATGGGTAACGCTGAGTGACTTTGCGCCAGATGCGAACCAGGGGGAATTTCCTCTTCTTAGCCCAGATGGATTTTCGGGCCCGATAGATTGCGATAGTCCACGGGATGACCAAGGTGAGCGCCATTAGAATGAGGAGGAATCCCGATCTCAGGAATAGTATGAAGAATACAGTGAAGAACAGGATTGTGACATGGTTGTTTGCAATGAGTGAGTCGCATGCGGCTTGTTGGAACGTGTACGTCGCCGAAGGCAGTGCGGCAAACACTAGGACAGCGATCCAAAGTGGAATTCCGACTAGCACCAAAGCACGGTTCAGAAAATGCCCAGGTCCGAAAACGACGTCCAGCCGCGTCTGCTTGCCGAAAAGACTGCGCAACACATACAGCACGAGGTATATGGTCAACGGCGACGCTGCCAGGGCGAGGGCAATGACGCAGTGCAGATGGGTGAGATTGTGGCCGATGATGGAGAAGATGGCGGCAATGATGAGTGAATAGATGTTCAGCAATTGTGCGTAGAATGACGATGTCACATCGTTCGGGGAAAAGAACAGCAATATCGCAGACACAAAGGATGTGAAGTACATCGAATAGCGCACGGCGGGACTTGCGACATCCGGATTGGGGCAATAACTGAGAATACAGAGATGAATCCTTTTCCGTGTGATAACAGGCAGAGCACCTACCCGAATCCGCACGAATCGTCAGGCGGGTTGAGGCAATACACATTCAAGTAAGCCTCTGGGGTCGTAATATTGAGGAAGTCGAGCATAGTTTGCGATGCAACCTGGCATACGGTGCTCAGGTTACTCGGGTCGCCGAAACATGGGTCACGATCAGGAAACTCGAAAGTAGGTAGCACATGAGGGAAAACGTCGCCGAAGGACATGAAGAGCAGAGCCTATCCACTATAGGAACTTGCGAAAGAAAAAGATGTAACCGATCACTCGATGACTCTTACAGCGTACATGACACGCGGTCCGGGCGCTGTTTTCGGGCGCTGGGAAGTTGCGCATGGACAGTGTATCCTTGGCGATTGATCGCGTTCATGTGGCTGACTCGTCGACAAAGTATATGCAAAGTAGAGCAACGCAAGTTCCAGCTTGGCTTTCGAACAAGTCTTTGTCGTCGCATTCGGAAGTTTATCGTAGCCTGTAGCCTTCTGCACGTGGGTAACCAACAGTCAAAGCGAATGAGATCAATTGATGAAATAATCGAGCATAGCCACCTCGGCAGATGCATCCACAACACCCTACCCCTTTTTGCAGGATGTTAACTGATAGACCTCCGTGAATCCGTGGCCATGTAACCGAATGTCCGGTTCTGGAATGGACTCCCAAAGCTTTCTTATGCCAGCGCAACATAGTAAGGTCCAGACTAGCTCGTCACGGGAATAGGGAGCTCACGTGCCATCAAACATTTCAAACTCCGACGCCGAGACGCTCCAACTGGCAACCCTTGTATCAATTGCCGACTGGGCTCACCGCGGTCCTCGTTGCTCAACGTCACCGCCGTGGTCTCGCATTCGATCGACGGACATCTATTTATACAAATCAGCCAGGCAAGGCGCACTTAGGGCAACCACAATCGGCCCGCAACACAATCAAGATCGTCCGTTCTGAATCCCTCGAGGAAAGCGAGTTACATTCGGCTGAAATGGTGGCTTCACTGGCGGGTATGTTTCCGGCGTCATCGCACGTTAGTTCAGGGCTCCCTTACTGCTTGAACAGAATCGGTGCAGAGCGAATGTCAGAATGTCGTGATACATGGGTGGGTAGACTTGTAAGGCTTCGGGATGTCAGCGCCGACGTGTGTGTTCAGGTTTTGCGAACTCGAGGGCAAAGGGTGTCCATTTCATCATCCGTCGGTATGTTCCTGATAATTGCCCTGCATATACGTTCTCATTGCTGCTGTGCAGGTGCCAGTCGCGTATGTCCTATCCCTTGCCCACACTCAATGTCCATCTGACCTGGCATTCCGACTCACCATCTAGTTCCTTAGAATCGCCGAAGAAACAGGATAACGCTACTTCTTCCACAACACCAGCCAACAAGTCATCGACGTCCGTTCCAAAGTACTTCCGTCAATCTCACTCCGACGCGTCTAGATCTGTTAATGCGTACGTTCGCTCCATGAAATCTCCTTTGCTGTTGATGAAGCCACGTGAAAAGGTCAATGGACCTGCACGAGTCGAGTTCAGATGATTTCGATGACGCAAACGAGTACTTCGAGGCAGCTGACGGTCCGTACTATGTCCAGGCCCCCAGCTTTGTGCCCCAACCGGTGAGTAGATATCCGTAATCCCGACTTGATCATCCACGATTAGCAGTGTTAATCGAGTCAAAGCAGCTCAGTTACCGCCTCTATCCAAGCGCCGCCCCTACGGGATACGCTTCGGCTTCCGTAGACACGCACTCACTGACAACTTCCACCGAGTTGCGTGCATTACTACAACAACAGAATGACGACCCTCCCATGAATCCTCTTGGTTCGCTTTCCTGCTGGGATATCTGTATTCGAGTCTTAACTATTCCGCAGGCCTCAATGAGATGTCAGGCTATCATGCTCTTGCACCTCATCGTAGGATATCCAGGAGACACCCCTTTGTTGCAGATCTTTCTCAATGTCTGTTTGATTTCGTCATCCAATTGTTACCCACTCAGGTGCGTTGTGCTGTGGGCGATCATGGAAGTCTCAGTCAGCTAAATTTCCTGAAAGGAGGAGATGTCGGTCAAGGAAGATGTACGGAAGCTGTTGGAGCGCCTTATTCGCACCATTCAGCCGGACAGTAGACTGCTCTCGTTCGGGAGCACAGCAAATGGCTTCAGTCTTCGGAATTCAGGTCTGCTTTCATGACCACTGCTGCAAAACTGTTTCTGTGTGCTGATCAACCGCATCAGACATGGACCTGTGCTGTTTGATTGACACCGACGAGCGCCTTTCAGCGTCAAATCTGGTCACTATGCTCAGTGAACTACTGGAACGCGGTTCGTTGTGGTTTCAAGTACATCGCACGTCATTATAACCAGCCTCAGAAACCAAGTTCCACGTCAAACCTCTTCCCCACGCCCGTATCCCAATCATCAAACTCACTCTGGACCCGTCACCAGGACTGCCGCTCGGTATCGCATGCGATATCGGATTTGAGAATCGGCTTGCATTGGAGAACACTCGCTTACTCATGTGCTATGCCATGATTGACCCAACCCGCGTTCGCACATTAGTGCTATTCCGTATGTATCTTCTGAGCGAACAATCGCATGCGGTCGACTGACATATCCTGATCAGTCAAAGTCTGGAGCAAACGCAGGAAGATCAATTCACCTTACAAAGGAACCTTGTCGTCTTACGGATACGTTCTCCTGGTACTCTACTTCCTCATTCACGTCAAGAACCCACCGGTCCTGCCAAATCTGCAGCAGATGCCGCCTTTACGGCCTATCTCGAAAGAAGACACCCATGTCTCAGGATACAATACATGGTTCTTCGATGATATCGATCTATTGCGGACAAGATGGCATTCGGAGAACACCGAGAGCGTGGCTGAGCTGTGCGTCTTTTCTCGAGCATAGTCGTACGCCACTGACCATTGAACATCAACAGATTGATTGATTTTTTTCGGTACTACGCGAGGGATTTCACCTACAACACTGGTGTGGCTTCGATCAGAGCTGGACTCGTGAAAAAGACAGCCAAAGGATGGCAGAACGACGCAAGTCATAAGACTCCTCTCTGACATCTGCAACTAACCTAAATTTAGCTTACGAGTCGCTACCACGATTCACGAGAACGTAATCGGCTATGTATAGAGGTTTGTTCGATCCTCTTTTGGTCGCCATGGCTCAAGTGATATCAGGATCCCTTCGAATCGGATTTCAACGTCGGCCGGTGCGTCTCGAAGGATGGCATCTACACTGTGAGCTTCAAATTACATTTCGAATTTCATCTCATCTACCTCAGATCCGCGGTGAATTCATGAGAGCATCTCGGATATTGGCCGGCCGTCCGGAGCGTGCCGTCATTGCCTTGGCCGACTTGTGCGCAGAACGAGTTGACGAAGACCTCGTTTCCGCTCCACCGTCTTTCAATGTGCAGAGACCTCCGCCTCAGACCCCGTACTCTGTGGGCAGCAGCAATGGGCGGGCCAAAGCACTGTCCGGGCCAATCGTCACCTCCGCCAGCACGACTGCCAGCAACACAACACTTGGCCCCCCGCCCCCTTCCGCACACATGGCACCGCGGCGAAGCAAATGGACGAGTCCACCGCCAGCAAATGCGTCCAAAGATGCACACGCTCAGTTCGAATCGAATCTTGGGCACGGCCTGGAATTGGCAACGAGCTCGACCGGAGCACGGCAAATTTCAGAAACCAACAGCGAGAGTGCTTCCGAAGGAACTAGCGAAGTCTTTACAGACAGTGCCAGTGACCCGGGAAGTGATGTCGTTTCAGTGCGGTCCTTCACCGAGGGCGTTGCGATCCGTGACGATGAGGGACCTTCCATGCGCCGGCCGTCCTGGTATTCGTCCCAGCATCTCGATGTCGAACCTATACACATTGTGCCTGGGCGGAATCGCGGCCGCAATCACCGTGAACGACCAACATTGCCACCTCCAGCATGGAGCAATAATCCGGTAGCTTCGCGCCGATCTTCGTCTGGCCCACCGCGGATGTCATTCGAAACACCGCACGCCGTGCTCTACCAGACTTCCCCGCGGCCCAGCCCCCATTCCAGTCCACAACCGAATATATACCCTTCGCCCCATGCCCAGTTCCCTACATTTCTGATGAACAGCAACATCATAGGAATTGGAGGTCCTCCAGATGTATTCCCCACAAACCACCCACCAATATCCAGTCGAGAACATACCCCTGTGCCTGCAGCGGTTCCGTCCGGGCCGAAGCCTCCGTCGCCGACTTGGACACGAGTCGTCTCGCAGCATTCTCGCTCGTCGTCACTCGTGACCAGCACGCCAACGCCGAAGCCCCATGCTGACCCTGTATTCTCCCAGCAGCAACAGCAGCAAACAACCCGTGTAGTACCATCCATCCATCCGCTTCTGTCCTCCGGGTACGAGACGTCGGTGTCGAATTCCCCATCACCTGAATGAAGCTGGCACTTTGCGGACAGTCAATGTCCAACCACGGTATATATTTTCACGCCGTATTTCGTTCTGCATCTTTGCTGTTAACGCTGTATATGCAATCCCTCTGCATATCCTACCTATCATCTACCTAGCTATTACCTAGATTTCGAATGCCATGCAGTAATCCGGACACCTTGGTCAATATGCGCTGACTTGCTGCAGAGGCGGCACCCCATAAGGGAATACCTCCTTGAAAAGGGCCGGGTAATGCCGTTCCGCCACATCAGGATGGCTTCTGGAGCGTTTTGAGACATGTATGTTACACACCAGAACGAGTATCAACACGCACTTGACCCGCCCAATAAGATTGACTCGTCCCGATGGTTCCCGGTCAAACTCAGTGAAGTTGACCGCTGTGTTACCGATTCAGAATCAAGATCAGCCCGAGAACGACAAATCTGCGTACAATCAGTAGCCAGGAGCGTCCCACGGGAGTCTCGCAAAGCCAGAACTTCAGGCGGAACTGCCAACCGATGAGTGAACCAGTTGTCTTGGCCGCACAAAAGTCTCACATGTGAGCACGTGTTCTGTGATACGTGTGTCGAGACCTATGTTCTGGAAGAACGGCACGGAGTACCGAGGACCGGTTCCGCCGACGGGTGAGATCACGCGGTGGGAGGTAGCTCGAGCGAGTCCCTGGGTCGCAAATTCGAGTGCTTGGCAAGGGGCATCCTTGCGTCAGCTCGAGCCATTAGTAGCCGTGCATGCTCACCGCGACCGATGTTGACAACAAAGGTGCCTGGAATAGGCGGCACATCAATCCACTCTCCTGCGAGATTCTGCACCTGCAGGCCTCGATGGTCAGAGACTTGGAGAAGCTACGCTCGAGATCGGCCTCCGAAAGTTGTAGACAGAAATGAGGACGGCGCACGAAAGTAAGGAATCCAGCATCGTAATGTGGCCCGACACCCTGTGATTCGTGCTCAGTTTGTGGATAGGCTACGATCTTGCCTCGGTGCTGCATCAGCTTGGGCACGTCGTAGAACTGATCGAGCGCGTCTGCTGGGAGTCCCAGCGCTTCTGATAGA